CCCCTTTCAGTAAACAAGAGATAGAAAACTCCAAGCCCTAGCGGGTTTTGGCTCAGTGGATAGAGTGTCGGCCTGTGGACTGAAGGGTCCAGGGTTTGATTCTGGTCAAGGGCACATGCCCATGTTGCAGGCTCGATCCCCAGTAGGGGGCATGCAGAAAGCAGCTGATCAATGATTCTCTCTCATCATTGTTGTTTCTATCTCTCCCTCTCCCTTCCTCTCTGAAATCAATAAAAATATATTAAGAACAAAAAAGAAAACTCCAATAACAAGGATGATTATAGAAGGGTAATAGTCGCTGAATAGTGACCATATGGACAGGCCCTGTGCTAAGAGCTTTCCAAACTCAGTCTCAATGAATCCTCACCCAAACCTATTACATAGGGATTATCATTATCGCATTTTAGAGTCAAGAACCTGAGACTCAGAGAAGTCAAGTAACTTTCCCAAGATCACACAGCTAGTAAGTGGCCAAGCTGGCATTGAACCTGGGGCCATCTGACTTGAGCCATGCTGTTAAGATCAGCCTGACTGCCTCTCCAGGGACTGCAGGTCACACCACTAAGTGAACTGAGTGGGAGTGGCTACTGAGGTGAATCAGAGACCTTCCTAACCGGGGTAATCACCACTCAGCAGCAACCAATAGTTGCCGTGGGCAAATGCACATTCAGAATGGCCAGACCTACCCATTTCTCAAGAGAAATCAGAAATCTGGATTTCTGTGTGACATACCCGGGGTTTTAAACATTGAAAATTGGTTCTAAGTTGGTTTTAAAACAACCTATATGCTAGAGACTACAGAGATTTCACAGCCAATTCAATGAGCCTTGACTGGATCGTGGTTTGAAACACCAAAGTCTAAAAGACATATTTTAGTATGACTGGGAAAATTTTAATATGATTGGATATTTGATGATATTGTGGATTTTTTATTGTTTTTCTTGGATGTGATCCTGGAATTGTTATGTGAGAAAATGTCCTCCTCCTTAGGAGATCCATGCTGAAATATTTAGGAACAAAGTGCCTCATCTGCAACTCATTTTCAAATGCTTCAGCCATAAAACAAACGGGAAAGGGGGGTGGTGTAGAGAGAGAGGGAAGAAGAAAGGAATATTTGAAGAGAAAGAGATTAACAATAAAGCAAATATGACAAAATACTAATAAGTGTTCAGTCTAGATTAGTAGTTCTCAGCTGGGGTTGAGTCTGCCCCTACATGACATTTGACTCTGTCTGAGGGTGTGTTTTACTGCCATGACTGGGTTGTGCAGTGGGTGCTACTGGCATCTAGTGGGTAGAGACCAAGGATGCTGCCAAACATCCTGCAGGGCACAGAACAGCCCCACAACAAAGAATTATCCAGCCCCAAGTGCCGGTTGTGCCAAGAATGAGAAATCCTGGTCTAGATAAAGGGTCTACTAAAGTCCCTTTTGATTAGTCTTCCAAGTTTTTGTAGGTTTAAAATGTTTCACAATTTAAAAAAATTAAGAAAAACTTTAAAAATATAAAAGTACATAAATAGAAATATTTTGCAGACCAAACAAAACATGTCTGTGTGGTTGGGTAACCATAGCTGGCCACTTGCAGCCACTTTTTCCAATAAATAGTGGTTGAATGTAGCTGCTGTTACAGCTGCTGAATGAGCATCTGTATAGTTCTTACAAAATCGAGTGCAAAGCACCCCTCCTGAAATTACTATCTTTCTCCTGCTTCCAGTTCTAATCAGCCCAGAAGCAAGCAGGCAATGTGCCCAGGACTATGGGCCTAAAAACTGACATCACGGAGGCCTCTTCTGGGAAAACACAAGCGTGCTGGCCACCAGGAGCAGTCTGTGACATGGGAGCAGCGATGTGTTCTAGTCTTTGAAGGGGAGGTGCTTAGAGATGAGATGAGAACAGACCCCTCATCTCAGTGACCCTCACAGCCCCAGACAGAACTAATTAAGAGGCTGTGGCCAGCACATTAATTTCACCTGGAAGCCACCTGCTGGTGCCAAGCTTGGCATGTCCACCCCACCTAAGCATCCCTGAGCCCCTGCAAGCTAATGAGCCCATGGCTGGGACTAAAAACAATTCCCTGCATAAGCAGCCCAAGGTGCATTTGGCAGGGGGGGGGACTTGGGGCAGCCCCAGCACCACAGAAATACACATTAAGGCTACATACATGCAGAAAACAAGCAACAGAATGCAAATAAGGGAGTCACCTTGGGTTGATTCATTTATCCCTTGTAAAAGATTCCTAAACCCAAGACCAGTCTTTCTCAAAGTGTGGGGTGGGTTGGTTAAATGCAGATTTGGGGGGAGGGGGCATCCCAGACCTCTTGATTCAGACTCTCTCAGGATAGATTTCAAGAATGTGCCTTTTAGGAAGCTCCCTCACACTCTGATGCTCACCCCATCTGAACACATCTGTCCCTGACACAGTGGGAACCAGGGGAGTGAGTAGATATTGCACAATTTTGTAACTGTGTGACCTTGGGCAAGCCACCCAACTTTGTAAGTGGGAATCAGAATAGCACCTGTCTCACAGGATAACTGTGAGCACTATAGAGATGTTTACACACACACACACACACACACACACACACACACACACCCTAGAGCGGTGCTGGACACTCAGAACCCAGAACTGCACTGAGCAAATGTGACTGCCTATTCCTTAGCAGTGATTGGCAGAACACTGTAGAGCCCCGAGCAATTTACCAATGTACAGACACTCAGGTCCTTCCCCTAAAGATTTTGATTTAAATAGTCTATCTAGGGAGAAGCCCAGGGTAGGGATTTTTTTTTAAAATAGCATTCCAGGTGAACCTAAACAGCAGCCAAGGTTGAAAACCACACCTGGGAAGCTGCCAGAAAGAAAAAAAAAATCAACTCTTCTTTCTCTTCAGGTGTATGCACTTGCTTGCTATTCTGGAATTCCCAAAATGTATATACCACAAGGAGCACCTGTATTCAGGCTGTTACAGAAGACTGGGTACCCCTCGATTCCACCTCCCAGCAGACGTTTCCTGATACCAGCAGAAGAATGTGTCAGCTACACACTGAGCGGGAGTGATCCTTTTGCCCCCTCACAGAGCTGCAAGGGTGCTGGACAAGGAAGTTGAGTCCCTGCTGGGCGCTAAGGCACCTAGTGGAGCTGGGTCTCAACAGGAAAGCACAGATCAAAGAGGGGCTGAAGCTAGCGTCACTTTCTCCCAGAGGTGCCCAAAGGTTAGCTCCTCTCACATTTTGCCTCCTCCCTGTTCCCTCTCCACCCACCCCTCTCCCCCACCCCCAACACTGAGGAGGGCTCCTTGAAGCGCAGGTTTGCAAGGAAAGGGCTCGGTGGAGATTTCAGCAGAGGAATTCACCCGAACCTGCAAGGCAGCCTACCTATCCCTGAGAGAATCTCTCGCTACCAGGGCGACACCGCTGCCGCAGTCCTGCCTGCGCATCTCACCCTCACCTTAACGCAGACCTCAGAATCCACAGCGATGGCGGGCACCGCAGGGGAGTGAAACCACCGGGCCCATGGGGTTGGTGACGGGGCACCTTGGGGTTGCAGGAGGTGGGCGGGGCCAGCGCTTTACTCTTTGGGTAGGTCAGCATCCCCTCCAAGCTTACTTCTGTTCCTCAAGACCTCACCACACCTCCCTGCTGACCCAAACCCGGAGGAACTTCTTCACTTCTCCCCCCGCCCCCCATCCCCGCAAAGTCCTCCCCTCTGGAAGAAGAAAAAAAAAAGTCATCGGATACTCTTCGTATAAATCGAAAATAATTACTAGTGAGGTGGTGATGTTCCTTCGCCTGTTTTTGCTGGGGCTCTTTGTTCAGATTTTTTTAGGCAGGCTCCCGAGCGCGTGCACACACACGCGCACACACAGGTCCCCGGCGGAGGTGTGGGGTGTGCGTGTGTGTGCATGTGTCTGTGTGTGTGTTGGGGGAGGGGGGGAGAGGGAGATACGTGGCAACTCCGTTACCCATATTCGAAAAGAGGACAGAGCGTGCGCCCAGCCATCCAGCAGTGCGCAGGCCGCCTGTCGCTCTCCAACCCCACCTGCCCGGACCTCACACCAACCCTGGATCTCTCCCGGGTACCGGGCAGCGTCCTCGCAGCTGCGTCCCCGCCTCCAAAGTTACTGGGTTGTGCGAATCAATTTGGACACTTATAAAACAAGCAAAAGGCAAATAGCTCCATTAATCCCCAAATGCCTCCTTCCATCTGCTGCGACTTCCTCGTGCTGGGACTTGCATAATGAATGAGGCAAACGGGAAAGTTGGCGAATCAGGGTGTCAGGGAGGGGGGTAGTATCCGCGCGGGGCGGGGGCTCTGGCCTTTGAAGTCCACGCCAGCTCGAGCTATGGGTACAGGGAGAGGTGGCGACGGGGAAGCGGAGCCAGGGAGTTGGGGAGGGGAGAGGGGAGACCGTAGAGGCAGCAAGTTCCCGATGCCAAGGACCTTGCAGCTCTGGGAAAGCGAGGCGGCCGCTCCGAACAAGGCTTTTGTTCTCGCTCTCCCTTGGCTCTCCGCCCCCCTCGCCTCCTTTTCCCGAGCCGTACTAGTTGCTGGCGGCGCACACATCTTTCCCTCCTCCTTCCCTCACACACGCGCGCTCCAGCTCTCACACACACCCCTTCCCTTTCCGGCTCGCCCGCCGGCCCCTGTTTATCTAGTATTTGGAACCCGAGGGTGGACCGCTCCCTAAAACCAGAGACTTGGAGGCCAAGGGCTCCTAGCTGTGTGCTTTAAGTCCGCTGCAATCTTCCCCGCGGGGAGGGGGTGCAGCAAGACAGTGAGGGAAGGAGAGACCC